GGGGGGGGGGGGGGGGGGGGGGGGGAGGGGGAGGAACGGTGATTAAATGAGAAAAACGAAAAAAAAAAAAGACCTGCACTCACTCTATCTTCTGAACAGAAGAAAAAGGAAATATACTCGTTGCATCCCGAAGCTGAGTTGTGATGATTAATCGGCAATATCAGGTAATACGGAAAACACGATTGCAACTGCACATGCGAGTCTTCCGTACGTTGGTAGATGCATGTATTACTAATCTGTACATACAAGATTGCTACTATATGAAGAACAAGTTTCTGCCTTTCTGCCTACCCTAGAACTGAGAACTTGTGCTTCCTGCTTGCGACAGCACACGATGACCCGTAGACGTGAATACAGTGGTCTCTGCCTACCGATACGTCCTGGGTCGACGGGTGTGTGTCTTGGTGCTCGATTGATTGAACGGAAAGGAAGGAGATCTATATATGAGGCTATTTACAGATGGGAGTGTGGCAGCAGCCAAGTGCTGCTTAGTCATGCATTCTTGGGTGTCACAGATTACCATGTTTCCCTAGTATTACTCTGCCCATATCTTTCTCTTCTCTCTCTCTTCTCTCTCTCTGGTGTACATATAGAAGTATTGTCCGTACTCCGTACAAGTAACAGAGTATCCGTACATCTGACATTCACAGAACCAACCTCTTCCCCGCCTCGACAACTCCGTCTCCCGTCATTGGTCGGACAACCTTGGCAGTAGTAATCTGTACGGATACTAATCTCAAAGATAATCCAACTCGCGCCGCCGGGGAACGTTCCCCCAGCTCTCCCCGATAAGCCAAAAAAGCAAATATCCCAACGGCTTGTATCTTGTATCTTGTATCGGGAGGACCATGCTTTTACTCGATCAAATCAGCCAATCGACAGAAATGCCTTACCTGAACTTTGTATACCACTTCCGTCCGTTAGTGCTAGCAATACGTATTCTATCCTGAGTATCCTGACTCATCAGCTACTGTATTCATACCTGTACTCTATCTACTACGGGCTTTGACTCTTCATAAATGCACGGTTAAGTAAGCACGCAATTGCCAAGAGACAAGGGGAGAGATAATTGATCAAGCAAAGTATCAAACCTATTGTTCGAACAAATCGAAATGTCCATAGCACAGCATTAGCAATATGCCCAGACACTCATAGTATCAAAGGGAAAGAAGGACGAGAAGGATAAGAGAGAGGCAACATAAAAAGAAACCCAATCCCGTGTATCAATTAGGTCTTGTGCTCATGAAAAATCCAAACTCCGGCATAAAAAAAAAAGAAATATCACCCAACATGCTTTCTTCTGCTTTTTTTTGTTCTTTAACCCCTGCCTAAAAAAGATGCCATGATACAAGAGAGAAAATTCGGCTGCGCCAGTTATGTCTATAGAAGCCGAGAGCGCCATTACAAAATTTGTATAACATGATAAAAGGTAAAAGAAAAGAAAAAACAGTAGAAGAAATCGCTTTCTTCTCTTCCAACGCCATCGCCTTCAAAAGGAAGAAGAAAAATCGAAAATGAGGAAAAAAATCTGAAAGAAAAATGGTGGGTATGTAGAAGGAAAAAGCGAGGAGAGAATTCCACAGAGTTGTGTCTCCCCTTGTTCAAGGGGGAACAATGCAATATAGCAAAGAATCGCAAGCAATGAGCAGAAAAGATGTTGGGGGATATGCTGCGCTCCCAAGTCCCGCTTCGGGGTTGGCGGTAGAGCAGAAAAGATGAACATGAAATCCAAAAAACGGAAAATGGGAATAAGAAAAAAAAGAAAGAAAAAGGTAATTGCCATCGAGGCAGCAGGGAGACAGCAGGAAAAAAGGGTTGCCTTCCTTTTTTCCACATGTCTAAACAGTGTCGTCATTGTCGTAATCGTTCAAGAGTTGCTCGTCTTCGACGGCATTTGCCGGGACCACCTCGTCGTCCTGCGGTTCCCCCTCAGTGATCTGGAGGCTCAGGTAGGCACCCACGAGCGTGACGATGCCGCTGAACCACCACGCCAGACCCGAGTAACCCGTCCGCAGACCTGCCGAGTACAGCAGTCCAGACACCACGGGGCCGAGGGTGCGGCACAGGCTGGCCGTCGAGGCGGCGATGCCGTTGATGGTGCCCAGCACCTGCTTTGAGGGGGCCGCGTTGGCAAGTAGGATGGCGTTGCTGGGGTACGCCATGGTCGAAAAGGTGCACTTCCACACCACCAGGAGGTAGATGGCCGGCATGCGCATACTCTCGGGTAGGAGAACCAGGTAGGGCGTCACAAAATACAGGACAAAGTACGACAGCGCCAGCATCCGGAACAGCCGCAGCGAGCCCAGCTTTCGCGTGACGGGGGGGACGATGGCGAAGTTGGATAGTAGCGAGTACATGCCCTGTACAGACATGATGATGCCGATCGTCTTGGTCTCGAGGCCGAATCCGTCGACAAACTTGAAGGGCAGCTGCGTCGTCGCGTGCTTCGGCGGCGCTGTGCTGAGGAAGACGGGTAGCAGCTGGTCAAACGTCATGGTGTGGCTGCGCGTGCGTTAGCAAGCACATGGTAAACCGGCCTCGTTCAGTCATTGCCCAGGAAGTTGGGACTCACAATGCCAGGATGCCGTAGGAAATAATATTCATGATGACGGGCTTAGTGAAGGTCTTGAACCCCGGAGATCCCGGCCCGTTCCTCGGCGACCCTGCCTCGACATTCTCCACGTCCGTCACCGGCGCGAGCCTGGGAGAGCTGCTGCGGCTGCTATACTCCGGCAGGAGCTCATCCTCTTCCTCGCCGTGGTGGGGGCTGACGGCGCCCTCCATCAGATTCTGCTTCTCAGGCGTGCGGCTGCGGCACGAGCAGCCTCCGAGGCTCGGCATCTTGGATGCGATGTAGTCTCCCATCTCCCTTCCGCGGTCCCGGCGGTAGCGCTGAACGGCATGCGTCTCGTCGAGAAAGAGGATCCCAACCACCACGCCGACCAAGACGACGGCGGCACTGAACAGGTTGGGCAGCAGATACGGGTACTTGTCCCAGATGGTGCCGCGGGCAAAAATACCGGGGTAGCTGATACACGGCCTCGCCAGGGCACCTCCGATCATGGGACCGATAATGGAGCTGTGGATGAGTTGTTAGCCAACAATGACAATTCCCGTGTATCTTCGCTTTCCTGCACACAGGAGGTATGCTGGATGGACATGTACTCACCCGATGCACCAAACCATAGGCATGATGGTATAGGCCCGAGCTGTGCAGCACAGTATTAGCATCCTTGCCATGGCTACGAAGGAGTGGTGCCAGCGGCACTCTGAATATGCGGACTTACGTTGCTGTTCCTTGACAGTCACGAGTTCAGCCACAGTTGTCGGCAGAACGCCCACGTTTCTAGCCTCTCGCGTCAGCGCCAAGTCCGCAAAACACGCACACACACACACACGCCGCTTCATCTCTCTTCACCACTTGTCAAGACGTGTGTCACAGAGGACTGGACATACCCATTCAGGAGACCACCAAGGGCTCGTGCAACAAGGGCAACAGGAAGGTTGGGAGCAAGGCCAAAGGCAAGAACGCTGAGGGCAGTGCCAGCCAAGCCGGTGAGGAGGACCGGTTTGCGGCCGATCCTATCACTGAGTCGTCCCCAAAGAACGCCGGTAGAAAACTCGGCCAAGGCAAAGGCAGAAGTGACCATGCCTGCATAGACGGAAATCTTACTGGAGTCGTCGGTAATGTGGAAGTCCTCAATCATGTAATAGATGTAAGGGAAGATGGACATGAAGGCAATGGGCTCGCAAATCCGGCAGCAAGCTATAAAGAAGGGGGGAAAGCAAGTTTAGTAAGACATTTTCCTTTCTCTCTCACTCATCTGAAGCCATGGCGAGGATGGCATGGACGTTGCAAAGCCTTCATACCGAGAACAAACATCTGCTTGGCGGGGAACGGGGGCGGCGAGGAGGCGGCGCCTTTGGCGCGGCCGGATCTGGGAACGGTGCCGTATGCTCTCATGTTGTCGTTGGTGCTGCTGATGTTGCCCGTCTCTTGTCGTTGGTGTTGTCGTATGAGACGAGATGAGCGATACAGCCTCTCGGTAGCCGGATGTGAGGCGCCAGGGCCCACGCTGAAGGAAGTATACTGAAGAGTAATAGTCGTAAGGTTGTCTTGAGAATGCCGAGTAGTAGGGAAGTGTGCCGTCAGTGAAGCAAAGGACTATTAGGCACGACCCGAGAGTCTGAAAGCGGTGGTTACTATGACAAGAAGAAGAAGAAGGAGAGGGTTCGAGCAGTGGTAAGATTGTCGTCCAGTTGGGAGCGGAGCGGGTGTTATAAGAAGGGAAGCTCCGAAGGAGAGAGGGACAAGTTCCAAGCCATTGGGAGCGCAGAAATCAAGTCCGGGGGTTCCCAGTAAAGGGCCGTGGGTGCGACCCATATCCCGGGGACCGCAGCCGGTACTAGGTAATGAGGCTAGGGTACAAAGTAAGGCGCGTGTGAATGAATGGCCTTGTGGGGATCGCTTGTACACGCCGAGGTGTGTGTAAAGGGGCGGTGACATAAGTGGCCTGAAAAAGACGGTGATTGATCTACCAAGCCAGGCCTGGTCGAGTCGAAATAATAGTGCCCAAGGCACCTTGGATCACCGCAGCGAGGCAAGGTTTGTTGGAACCGGTCTGTGTGTAAAGAAGGGGGAGGGGTAGGTGGATACATCTTTGTCCTCGACCAGCAGGGGGGG